CTCTGTCAACTCTCTCATTGCCCAGTGGTGACATGTGCTCTTCTCCACTCTGTTGGGAGGTAATGCTGCTCCACGTGCTGGTGCAGGTCAGTATCCTGGGACTTGGAAGCTGGCAGGATTTGCCGGGTAAAGCTGTGTGCCATCATGGGGCACCTGAAAAGAAAAACACGTCTCACCACTGCGGTTGATTTCAAAAGAAAGTACTTCTATTTTTTAAAGAAAGTGTTGTTATTGTAATTGGTATCCCGCCTAACTTTTTGAGTTCACAATTTACTTGGTCCAGAGTTTTCTATTTTTTTTTTTTTTAAAACTAATTAATGACATTTAGATACTTCATACAATTATGAACAGATACACATTGGAGGCCAGAGCTTATTTGGGTGAACTTACTCCTACTGAGTTAGCAGGTTGGTGAGAAAAGCTCCCCCGAGCTCACCTATCTCTCTGACTGCCTTGGAGTAGGCGGCATTACCTTGTGCACAGAAAACTAGAAAAGGGGCAGAACGCTGGCCTTGCAGTTGTGGCAGGTTTCCACTGTGGTAAGCTAGGGTCATTCCTCGTCAAGGAATGTGTAGCAGATTGTTCACTGTGGAGGAGTTAATTATAGAGGGGGTTATTGTTATTATTATTATGAAGTTACAGATTTCAGCCACTCTTTGCTTTTATACTTTTGTGAAATTTAACTTTTCTCTGTGGCACCTTCGTTTTTCATTTTCAGTTATAAAAAGTCACTTTCACCTCATAAAAGAGTTGAGAACATCTCTCATGTCACATACTGCAGGTGCGTCAGTTGCACAGATTCTAGGGGGACATTTTTCTGAATAGGAAGACAGGACAAAGTTAATAGCTTAAGGGCTCTTAATTCGGTGAGTTGAGAACTTAAAAGTATTGTAGCACTTGTTTGGATCCAGGAAACATGTACTCAGTGGGCTTTAAAATTTCCATTTGCAGAATTTGGTCTCTGGCTGTTCCTGAGCTCTTTTTCTTACATTTTTTTCTCTTTAGATACCTATTTTGTTGGTGTTTAAAGGTTAACCTCTGCAGCTTTTCCAGGTTTGTTTGGCTTGCTTTCTTTCCTTTCCTTTTCCTCTTCTGTATGAAATTGTCTTTCTCCATTGCAGAAATGAGCTTGGGGAAACACGAATCCAAAAACTTTCTGTAGAGCTGTTCCTTTGGTGGCAGCATCACTTATTGGCAGTAAAGATTCAGTATAAAAGCACCAGCATCCCTCCTAGGGTGACGAGGATTCATTTTATAGCATTCCATTTTCCTAGTGCCACATGTGAAATTGGATTTTGATAATCTTAACCTGTATTCTACCCTTGTAGTTAAAGATCAAAAGATGAATTTCTTAGGAAAAGATTGGAGATAAGAGATGAAAAGTTGGGAGGATGTCTTTATTCTAATGTGAGGGTAGGGAAAATTGGATAACATTACTCGGGTGAGAGAGGTATTGTTCTTTAGTGGGAGTTCTCATTCTTATTCTCCAGTACTGACTTGTTGAGAAAGCATACTTTTTCACTGCCAGGTACTGAATGCAGAGGCTTAGTGAAGTATATGTGTGGGAAGTGCATGCATTTCATTTATTAGCAAGCATAGCTGGATTAAGACAAAATCGTTGGTTTGGAAAGGGGTTAAAGCCTTAAGTGAACAAATTAGCTAACAGGGAATGAAGTAGGTAGTTAATGTGCATATTTTTAATTTCCTTTGGTTAAAGGTTCCCCATACTTCTCTGTTCAGAGACATGAGAAGTTTGAGTCCTTCAGTGTTAGTTTTAATTTTTTTCCCCTTATTTGTCCCTTGTCATTTTGTTTCAAGCTAGAAGTCTGTGGGTTTACATAGGGCAGCTCTTTGTGAAAGTGGTTTATTCCACTGGAGAAAGGGGATTGAAAATCAGAACCAGTGTATTTCTTGCCCCACGGAACACTATTCCTATCAGATAGCTGAAAGAAGCTGCTGTGGGGAGCTCGACTCCAGACACAGGATCAGTACCTTGTACAGGAATTCCCATGAATTACAACTTCTCATTCTGTTTTATCAGAGTGCATATATGTCCTATTTCAGGAAAAGTAAAACAGTCATTTACAAAAGAAAGTCAATCTGTATCCTAAGCATTTTAATAAAAAGTTAAAAGAAATGTGTTGTTTTCGTTCTTTTTTTTTTTTTTGGGGGGGGGGCATTGGTTTGTTCTGAGTTTGAACAATGCCATTTGTTTAGGGAGGGATCCAAAAGTTCCCTACATAGAGGAAGAGACATTTAGGGTGCATGTGAGATACTTGAATTTTGCCACCAGGAGGGGGAAAGAGGCTGGAGCACTAGAGGTAATAGAGTTAGTACTATTTGAGAAATTCGGAACACGCTGTGGACCCAGGGTTGGTCATTTCTGCAGCACGATGGGGATGCCAGATGTTTGAGCAAAATCTCTTATTAACATGCTAGCAAGGACTAGCTCTAGTTTAGCTGTGTGTCACTCATTTTACACAAAATTAGAATTGGCTGAGGTAAATGGGTTGCCTGAGCTCAGGAGTTTGAGACCAGCCTGGGCAACATGGTAAAAACCTATCTCTACTAAAACAAAAAATTAACTGGCATGGTAGTACATTCCTCTAGTCCCAGCTACTCAGGAGGCTGAGGCGGGAGAATTGTTTGAACCTGGGAGGTGGAAGTTGGAGTGAGCTGAGATCGTGCCACTGCACTCCTGCCTGGGTGACAGAGCGAGACTCTGTCTAAAAAAAAAAAAAAAAAATCAAATGCTACATTTGGCAAAATGGGAATTTCCTTGTGCATTTAGTGGGCTTGTAGGAAGCCTTGGTTTTAGAAGACTTCAGATGAGATCATAACTAAAGTACTAGGACAAACAGTGGGAAACAGTGCAACGAGTTCTTCTCAACCAAGTATTAAAGTATTGGAGGTGTCCTCTTATCTTTGTTACTATGAAAGGGTGCTATGGGTTGTATGGGCAAATGGGTTGGTTTTGTTTGAGGCAGAGTGGAACATGAGATTAAAGGCTCAGTCACTGAACCTAGCACTCAACAGGTCTTACCTTGGCTGTTCTGGCTGTGACTTGGGACTTTGTACCATGATCTCCTGTAGACACCAAAAAACCCAGTGCCTAACAGTTCATGCTGGAGTCTTGAGTGTTATTGAGGGAGAATCACTTTTAGAGAGAAAGTTTTTTTTGGTTTTTGTTTTTTTGAGTTCACTCTGTCACCCAGGCTGGAGTGCAGTGGGTATGTGCATAGCTCACTGCAGCCTACATCTCCTGGGCTCAAGTGATCCTCCCATCTCAGCCTCCCAAGTAGCTGGGACCACAGATGTGCACCACTGTGCTTGGCTAATTTTTAGAATTTTTGTTGAGTTAAGGTCTCAATATGTTGCCCAGGCTGGTCTCAAACTCCTGGGCTCAGGAAATCCTCCAACCTCGGCCTCCCAACGTGCTGGGATTCCAAGTGTGAGCCCCTGTGGTTCACCAAGAGAAAAACCGTTAATTGCTAGGAAGTTGGGATAAAGAAATTTTGCTGTGATCAAGCCATCTTCTGTGTCATAGAGCCAAAATAAGACTGCCTACTATGGAAGATGGCCCAGTTTTAGTCCTGCCTCATACTATCATGGATAATCGTTTTCCTTTCTCTAGCAGGTTTGTGCCACTGGGAGTATGTACTGGGAGCGTTATCCCATGGTGTGCTGGGGTCTTACCAAGCAGTGTTAAGAATTCAGGCAAAAGATTAGAGAACTTAAGTAGCAATTGAATTATCTTTTCATTAATGTTGGTAGTATACTAGAGTAACCTTAATAAAAATTAATGTGTATTTTTATCAATACAGTGATAAAGCAGACCTTTGTAAACTGTCTAGCTTGTGGTGACTGATTTGAGGGTATCATGAAGCTCCCCCTCCCCCCGGTTATAGTCGTTCATCCTCTTCTGTCCTAAAGGGTACATCTTTGGAAAAGTAGGGAAGTTTTACGTTAGTATACACTAGAGATGGTAAACTATGCCTTGTGGGTCATACCTGGCCTGCTACCTGTGTTTGTATGGCCTGTGAGCTAAGAAAGCTTTTTACACATTTAAATGGTTGGAAAATGCAACTGCATCAGAGAACACGAACCAGAGGGGAATAAATAAACAAATGGTTGGAAAAAGAATTTGAAGAATGCTATTTTTGGGCACGAAAAAATTATATGAAATTCAAATTTCAGTGTAACTTTATATTGGAACACAGCCACCGCCATTCCTTTAGCTTTTGTATGCAACAGCTGCAGAGTTGGGTATTTGAGACTGATTGTATGGTCCTCCAAACTGGAATTGTTTCCATTCTGGCCTTCTGCAGAAGTATTTGGACCCTGGCCTAGATAAATCCTGGCTGGTGGTTATAAATGTTATGTGAAAATGTGAACACTGCAAAATATAGGGCGATATGCTTAAAATTCTTGATTTCAGCTGTTCATCATGGTCGACTTAAAGGGCAATTTAATTTACAGCAAATTCAGTTTCTCTGTGCTGAGGCTTTAGCCGCAAAATATCTTAGGAGTAATCTTGAGAGTTCATGCCCCTTAATGGACTGCTATACAGTTTACTTTCAGATTTTCCAAAATACTGAATTGGCCAGGGATTTCTTGGTCCATATGATCCCAGGGGTCAGAGGCTGAAGGTCGCCTAGACCTGGGCAGATGCTAACAGGTACTGTCATGGCCTGGGCAAATCTAGCTACGTCAGCGCTCGTTTCTATTCCCTTTCCCGCAGCCCAGCAAACAAGAGACTAGGCTTGAAGCGACCCGCCCTCCTCTCCCCCAATTCCTCGTGACGCCGCTCGCGCGTTACTCTCCCCGGGGCTCATCCGGGGGTATGGGGCAGAGGCTATGTCCCACAGGTTGGACGAACCTACGAGGGCACGGAAAGGAAGATCAGAATCGGCAGCCAATCAGGGCTCGGCACAAGCCCAGCCAATCGGGTCGGGTCAGTTGGGGCTTAGCCAATCGAGCTCGATGAGGAAGACCTGAGTCGGAGCTTGCGCCTCTCGCGTCCAGTTGTGGGTGGCGCTAGGTCCGTTCAGCTGACCGAGTCGGGGTCGTAGCTTGGTGGCTAGCTGTTTCTCGGAGAAGACCCCCGAGTGTCCAGTCTAGAGGCCATGGGGAGGCAGTGGGAGTCTGCCATGAGGGCAGCAGAACAGGCTGGCTGCGTGGTGAGCGCCTCCCGGGCCGGACAACCCGAGGCGGGCCCGTGGAGCTGCAGCGGGGTGATCCTGAGCCGTAGCCCGGGCCTGGTGCTGTGCCACGGGGGCATCTTCGCCCCCTTCCTGCGAGCTGGCAGGGAGGTCCTGACCGCGGCCGGCGCCGTCTTCCTGCCTGGCGACAGTTGCAGCGATGATCTGCGCCTGCACGTGCAGTGGGCCCCAACGGCCGCGGGTCCCGTGGGCGGCGTAGAGCGGGGTAGCCCCTCGCTGTGCACGCCCCAGTGCGCGGGCCTCGAGCCCGGCCCACCTGCCTCGTACCGCAGGCGGCTCCAGCAGCCCCCGCTTCCCGCCGAGCTGCTGCTGCTGCTGAGCTGCCCGGCCTTCTGGGCCCACTTCGCGCGCCTCTTCGGGGACGAGACAGCGGAACAGTGGCGCTTCGCGAGCGTGGCGCCGGATGATGAAGTGTCGGAGGACGAGGAGGAAGATCAACTGAGAGCGCTGGGCTGGTTCGCGCTGCTGGGCGTGCGGCTAAGCCAGGAGGAGGCGGAGGAGGAGCGCGGGCCGGCAGTGGCGGTGGCGCCTCTCGGGGCGGTCCCCAAGGGCGCGCCATTGCTGGTCTGCGGCTCCCCGTTCGGGGCCTTCTGCCCCGACATCTTTCTCAACACGCTGAGCCGCGGGGTGCTCAGCAACGTGGCCGGCCCGCTGCTGCTCACCGACGCGCGCTGCCTGCCCGGCACAGAGGGCGGCGGCGTGTTCACTGCGCGGCCCGCGGGGACGCTGGTGGCTCTGGTGGCGGCACCGCTCTGCTGGAAGTCCCGCGAATGGGTGGGCCTCACGCTGCTCTGCGCTGCCGCCCCGCTCCTCCGCGCTGTCCGCGCCGCGCTCGGCCGCCTGTTCCCCAGTACTGCTGCCCTGGCCGCCCTCCTGCCGCCAGAGGTGGGCGTCCCGTGGGGCCTGCCCCTCCGAGACCCCGGGCCCCCGTGGGCAGCCGCGGCTGTGTTGGTGGAGTGCGGCACCGTATGGGGCTCTGGAGTGGCTGTGGCTCCCCGCCTTGTAGTGACCTGCCGGCACGTGTCCCCTCGGGAGGCAGCCAGGGTCCTGGTGCGCTCCACGCCCCCCAAGTAAGCCAGCAGGGCAGACCCCACGTCCCCCTTTCCAGGTCTCAGGTCTGGGTGCAAGCCTTTTTGTGTCACGCGGATGCTTTGGGCGTGTAGTGGGTAGAGACCTGGAACCTTCCCCTCATTCTTTATACCCAGAATCCCTGTGGGGTAGTATCTAGGGCAAGATGTCAAGCTCCAAGCAGCTCTGGATTTTGGTACTGTGAGACACCCTCAATCCGGAACTGGACATTTTTGAGCTCGCCTCAAAGTCTGAGTTCCTTCTGGGTAGCTTCTCTGTCTCATAGACCTGCACCCTATACCCCACTGTTCTCTGGCCCTTTGAACAGAGATCCCCTAACCTTGCAGCTTCTCTGAAAGTGATAAGGTCCCAGAGGCCCAGGCTCATTACCTCCTGGGGTAATGAGATAGATTTGTTAATTTTAATCATCTTTTAGAGCTTAGCCAGTTTCCCTTCAGAATGAAAAACAGAATGTGGGTTTCTACCTAATCAAAATGTAGGGGGATGGCCCAGGCAGCTGTACGTGGTTCATGGTTCAATGCATCCTTGCAGACCCGTTCTTTCCAAATCTCTTTCCTGAATCCCCAAGCTTAGCCCAGTGTGGGCAACACAGCCCAGTTTGCCATAGGTGTCCCCACCTGGTGGCCTGTGGGACAGCTATGTCTTTAAAGGGAAGACTGATGAAGGTTTCCCTATGGTGTGTGGCTCCCCAGATTCCTCTCATTCCCCACACATTCCCCTTGCTCCTAAGGAAACCACCAGGTCTGTTGGAAGCTACCCCTACAGAGTGTAGTGGGACACCCCTGTCTGATCTTGGGCAAGTCAGTCTGTCTAAGCTGCCTCCCTGGGAGTTGATGCCAAATGTCTTGGAACAGAGCCTGCCACGCAGTGTGTTACAGAAGTGCTAGCATCTATGTAAATAGGGACCCAGGGGGGCAAAACCCCCACCAAACTGATGGGATTGTTGTGGGTATAAACAAGGCAGTGAAGGAAAGTGTTATGTTCACCCTGGCTCCTCCCACTGTCTGATGTTGGGAATGTTACTCAGTGTCTCTGGGCCTCAGTTATACCACCTAAATGGAGGGAATGCCAGTGCCCAGTTTATAGGGTCAGAGGACTAAATAAAGTGATGTCCACAAAGCATTAACACCAAACCTGACCCACAGTGCTTATCTGGGTGAGGTACAGGAAGCTTTATAGAAGCAGCGCAGTTTGTCAGCCACCTTTGGAGATACCACAGAATGGTGACGTGACTTGCCCAGAGTTGCCTGGCTCGTCGATTTCAGGGCTGATACCCAGATCTTGTGACTCCCAAGTTCGTGACATTCACTGTCACTCTCAGCTCCTTGATTTCCCCCAACTACTGAGCGATCAGAAAGCTAGCCTGTCATTTGTTTCCCTTGCTCCCAGGAGTGTGGCCATCTGGGGCCGGGTGGTATTTGCCACTCAGGAGACATGTCCTTATGATATAGCAGTTGTGAGCCTGGAGGAAGACCTGGAGGATGTTCCCATCCCTGTGCCTGCTGAGCACTTCCATGAAGGTAAAAGACAAAGGGCGTAGTCTGAAGGAGGGCCCCGCTGGGCTAGGGTGGGCCTCAGGAAGTAGAATCTGTTGGGCATTCTCACAATGGCCAGGCCCCCGGACCAGCCCCCTCCCCACCTCAGCTGACTTACAAAGTCAGGGTGGCATTGGTCAAGGTCCTCCAAGGCCTCCCTTCTTGTGCTGGTGGGGGATGTGGAGTACCCTGTGAAGGATAAAGCACGCCCCTTCCCCGAGTGCCTGCAGCAATGTAGTGTGAGGGTGCTGGGCCTTTCGGGTTTCTTAACATGTCAGGCTGGTCAGAGAAGCATGTGGCACTTTCAAGGCTCCTGGGGCATGCTTTGGGTAAAAAGGCTTTATGATGCTGCCACATTAAGTGCCAGTGTCACACTCCTTGGAGGCAGTGTTATGATACGGCGATGAAGGGTCCAGGGGCTCTAGATGGGCATCTTTCCTCTGCCACTTACTAGTTCCATGCCCTCGGACAGACAAGTTAACTGTTTTCTGCCTCATTTTCCATGTCTTTGCCATGGGGCTAATACATCCTACTTCTGGGTGTTGTGAGTGCTGGGTGTGACGTTGCCTATAAAGCACTTAGCCCCATGTCCTGCACTTGGAAAAGGAAGGTGATGGCTGCCTTATAGCTGTCATCACCATTTCTTTTCACCAAGAGACTTCTTAGGAGTCCCAGGAGGAGATGGATGTGAATTCCACAAACATTTATTTATTTATTTATTATTTTTCTTGAGACGGAGTTTTGCTCTTGTTACCCAGGCTGGAGTGCAATGGCGCGATCTCGGCTCACCGCAACCTCCGCCTCCTGGGTTCAGGCAATTCTCCTGCCTCAGCCTCCTGAGTAGCTGGGATTACAGGCACGTGCCACCATGCCCAGCTAATTTTTTGTATTTTTAGTAGGGACGGGGTTTCACCATGTTGACCAGGATGATCTCGATCTCTTGACCTGGTGATCCACCCGCCTCGGCCTCCCAAAGTGCTGGGATTACAGGCGTGAGCCACCGCGCCCAGCCAAAAACATTTATTGAGTATGTAGCTAGGTATTAGGAACTTCTAAAAGTCATTGCCCCATCTATCCAGGAAATGAGGACTGGGGAACAGCCTGCTGCTCAGGAGAAGTGATTGTGCAGATACAGCACTAGGAGCTCAGTGGAGTTCCCAGTCTCTTCCAGGTGGGGACCTGCCTGGGAAGGCTCTCTGGAGGCAGGAGTATCTGAGCAGAAACTCAAGGGTGGAGAGGTTTGGGATGTTTGGAGAGGGTAGGGGTGGGGGTTAGGGAGTGTGAGTCCTGCTATAACACAGGTGTCCTCAGCTTCACCCTCCTTCCCCCCTTGGTAGGCGAAGCTGTGAGTGTGGTGGGCTTCGGCGTCTTTGGCCAGGCTTGTGGGCCCTCAGTGACATCAGGCATCCTGTCGGCTGTGGTGCAGGTGGATGGCACGCCCGTGATGCTGCAGACCACATGCGCTGTGCATGGTGGCTCCAGCGGGGGACCCCTCTTCTCCAACCACTCAGGGAACCTCCTTGGTAACCAGCTCCTTGGCCCCCTCCCATCCTTTCACTTGCTAGAACCTCAGTCCCACCCCATGAGTGCTTATGGCCCGCCCCAATGCACCCTCTGTCTGGGAAAATGGTGGGCATTATGAGTGAGCTAGCCAAGGTTTGCGGGTTGTTCTGTTCCTGAGGGTGGCGAGGGAGAGATGCTGAACTGGGAGGAAAGAGATCTGGCCTCTGGTCCCTTCTCTGCCACTAATCCGCTGTGTGACCTTAGGTAAGTCACTTGATCTGGTTTGATCTGTGAAATTCAGGAGTTGGGTTAGTCCAAGGATCACAGACTCAAAAGCCAACAGAGGCTGGAAAGGTAAAGCAAATGAATGAGTAAGAGAAGACAACAGGGATGGGAGGGATCAGTGCTGGGCTGGAGTGCACTCGACTCGGCTACCGAAGGCTGTGGCCGTGAAGGAGGATGGGCCTACTGTTGACTGGTATTCAGATATTTCACAAGATACGTAAATCTGAAAAAAAAAAAAAAAAAAAAAAAAATTCGTGTGGCCGTTAAATCAATCAAGTTTTAAATTTTGGCAACAGGTTTTTAAAAAACAGTCTGTTATCAAAAAGGAGAAAAAATGGGAGTTCACCTAGAAACCTCCAACCCCAGTCCAGTCTAACTCTTGCTTGTCTCCTCTTTCTCCTGTAGTGAGAAACCTTGCTTTGCTGTCTAGAATATGTTTACTTAATTTGTTCCACCCTAGTGAAGAGTAAAGTTATATTTGCATAACTTTTGTATATCTCCTCTAAGTATTTAGTACTTACAAAGAGGAAATATTAGAGCCACAGGTACTATTTAGAGTCATAAGTCTAGGCCTGGTGTGGTAGCTCATGGCAGTAATCCTAACACTTCAGGAGGCTGAGGCAGGAAGATCACTTGAACTGGGAGTTCGAGACTAGCCTGGGCAACATAGTGAGACCCTGTCTCTTTTTATTTTTTTAAAATTATTTTTTAAATTAAAGAAAGGAAAATATAAGTCTACCATGGAGAGGCCTGGCAGATACCACCTCAGCCAAGTGATTAAGGTTAACATCACAAGTACTCCATACAGACATCAGACAACTGATGCCCTGGGAAGGACACATGGCTTTTATGATATTCTTCCCAATAATGCATAACCTTAAATGATTAAAAGTCATGGCAAAACAAAAGTATGACAAAACCCACAATCACTTATGCACCAACCCAACAGTTGTGAGAAAACATTAGGTAGACCTCAACTGAGGGTTATTCTCTAAAATCACTGACCCGAGCTGGACATGGCAGTATGTGCCTGTAAGTCCTGGCTATGCAGGAGGCTGAAGTGGGAAGATCACTTGAGCCCAGGAGTTCAAGGCTGCAGTGAACTATGGTCACTATTGCATTCCAGGCTGTGTGACAGAGTAAGACCTCATCTCAAAAATATAAATTGTATATTTATTTTTAAAAAGGTGCGGTATGGTGGCTTCCACTTGTAATTCTAGCACTTTTGGAGGCCAGGGTGGGAGGATTGCTTGAGTCTGGGAATTCAAAACCAAGCTGGACAACCATAGTGAGGCCCCATCTCTACAAAATATTTTAGGGAGGCTGAGGTAGGAGGATCACATAAGCCAAGGAGTTCGAGGGTGCAGTGACCTATGATCCCCCCACTGCATCTAGCATGGCAGTAGTGAGACCTTGGCTCCAAAACAACAACAACAAAAGACTGTAAATAAATTAAAATAACCTGCAGTCTTAAGAATGTCAAGGCCATGAAAGATAAAGAAAGACTGAGGAACTGACCCAGATTGGAGGAGATTTGGGAGCTGTGACAGCTGAATGCAATATGGAGTCCTAGACTGGATGCTGGAACTGAAAACAGACATTAGAGAAACACTAGAGCAACTCATGCCAGTGAGTTCTGTATTTCACTTAACAGTATGTACCAAGGTAAATTTTTTGGTTTTGATACATATTTTTTGGTGACATAAGATATGAACATAAAGGAAAGCTGGTCAAAGGGTATGTAGAATTCTTCACTATTCAGGCAGAAATTATCTTTAAAAAACTACACACACGGCCGGCTGCGGTGGCTCATGCCTGTAATCCCAGCACTTTGGGAGGCTGAGGTGAGTGAATCACAAGGTCAGGAGTTCGAGACCATCCTTACTAACACAGTGAAACCTGCCTCTACTAAAAATACAAAAAATTAGCTGGACGTGGCGGCAGATGCCTATAATCCCAGCTACTTGGGAGGCTGAGGCAGGAGAATTGTTTAAACCTGGGAGGCAGAGGTTTCATTGAGCCAAGATGGTGCCACTGCACTCCAGCCTGGGCGACAGAGCAAGATTCCATTTTTAAAAAACCACAGCCACACTTCCATGCACCGAGCAGGCCAAGCAAAACATGTCCGTGGGTCTGGTTGATTGATTTATTGATTCATTCAACAACCTTGATTGAGAGCTTAACTTGGCTCAAGTACTGGGAGACTGGATGACCAAAACCCCAAGTCCTGCCCTCATGCGGCTGACACTAGGTGAAGAGAAAGATCACAAAACAAGTGAACTATCTAGTGTGTTAGATACTGAGAGTGTTAGGGAGAATGTAAAGCCAGGAAGGGGTGCGGGCAGCAGGTGTTCACGTCTAGAAGCTCAGCGTCAGTCACTGTGGGGGGTGGTTTCCAGCCCTAGCAGGCCCTGGGGGCTCCAGGGTGGATGGAGATGGCTCACATCCTCTTTTGCTCTCTGACTCCTCAACAGGCATAATCGCCAGCAACACCCGGGACAATAGCACAGGGGCCACCTACCCCCACCTGAACTTCAGCATTCCCATCACGGTGCTCCAGCCCGCACTGCAGCACTACAGCCAGACCCACGACCTGGGTGGCCTCCGTGAGCTGGACCGCGCCGCTGAGCCAGTCAGGGTGGTATGGCGGCTGCAGCGGCCCCTGGCAGAGGCCCCGCGGAGCAAGCTCTGAGGCTCTGTCGCCTCCTCTGGAAAGAAGAGTGACTTTTTTCTGCTGTAGGAAGTGATACTAAGGTAATTGTAGCCCCAGAATCCAGGGCCCAGCTCCTGAAGGGGGGCCCGGGCTGCCCCTCATCTCTAGCCATTGCCTGCAGTCTGGGCTCTGGGCCCTGGGGGCAAACTTCTCTTCATCCCCCTGGGTCCTTAACCTGGGAGCCCGTTTTGGGGTGCTTTCTTGAGCCCCCAGTTCTCTGTCCCCTAGCACTAGACTCAGCTTGTTTTTCCTTCTGGGGAGCCCACTTCAACTGCAGACATTCTGGGCCTGATAGGTCAGTGCTGGCGGGAAGGCAGGCCTGAAGGCAGGTTTTGCATCTGTTCCCCTGAGGGCCACCGGCCTCCTGGAGCTTCACTGGGGCTGTGGCTCCCATCTGCCTCACAGTCAGAGTCAAGCCTGCAGAGGACTCTGCTTCCTTAACATATCTCAGCAGAAATCCTGCTCTAAAGACCAGAGACAGAAGGGACAGAAACAGGAGTGCCTCCTGCTGTGCCAGGCCTGTGGGCAGTGCAGGTGGGTCCCTGAAGGTCAGCACTCTTGGGTCTTCAGGGACCCTCTGACACTGTGCCTTCATTTTCCAGCCCATAGCCTGGGTCTCAGGGATCTTCAGGGCTAGAACATGTGTGGTTTGGGCTTGGGAATAAACACGATCTATTGAAAAACCTCTATATATCAAATTCTTTTTTTCAGGGGTCGAATTGGGAATAGGCAAGCACCAGGCAAAGAAACACATTCTTTCCTTTTTTTAAATTTTATTTTATTTTATTTATTTATTTATTTAAAGGGCTGTGGTCTTGCTCTCTCTCTTCCACTGGCCTGGAACTGATGCCCTAGCGAGAAACACACTTCTGTTGTATTTGAGCCATTACATTTGGAGTCTATTGGTCATAGCAGCAGAACTTACCTTCACTGATATCTGGGAGCACCATACCAAACCATGTGTTGGGGGAGAGAAGAAGAAACGAGGATATTCCTCTCTTCTTTGAAGCTTACAAATTTAGCTGGAACTACGTATGGAAAAGGAGAACATTTACTGGGCTCTTCAGATCTAAGAGTTACCTGTTCTTTAAGTGGAGATACTGCCTCTGTTTCTCTGGGCTCCTGAGGTGACCCCAGTACCTTGGAGCTCCTCTAGCCCTGGGAGCCAGCAGAAAAGCCACCTGTTTTCTGGAAGCAAGTGCCCTCAGGCCTGGCTGAGCTCATTACAGCAGCCAGCCAGCAACTCTTCCTCCTCTTAGATTCTGTCATGTTCGACAGTCTGCCTGCTGTCCCCACTAACCATCAAAGTCATGGAATGGACTTGCCACTGTTTCAGCATCCTAACCACCACACTTTCCTGCTACCTCTGGCACTTGGAAATTGAGAGACAAAAGCCCTTTGTTAGGCAGCAAGCTTTGATTATCAGTTCCAAAGCTAAGGGCACTGTTGGTGGGACCAGAGGAGTGGTGTCTGGTGAGCTCCCTGTATGGAGGTGTCTTCTGGTTACCAAGAAAGTACTGAGTGATAATCAGAAAAACTCCTTGGTTTTCATGGTTTGTTACTTTGTAGCAGGTCTTGAGGGTGGAGGGCGGCGGCGGAGGGAGGTGGAAAAGAAAGATTTTCATGGTTTGGGACAGGTCCTTAGAGATGGGCCACAGTAGCCCTGACATGCCCCAGCCCAGTGTTGGACCACCTTGCATCTCCCTTCTCCCTTCCAGCTTTACCTTTGTCCTGCTCTTTCTGGAGTCCTCTCCTTGCATCCTGCCAGCTGGAATCCCCTTCATCCTTGCACACCTAGCTCCTACACAAAGCCTTCCATGATCTCCCCAAGCCGCAGGGCCAATTCCCTGCACTGGGCAGGCTGTAGCCTCTCTGTGTCACACGTTACTGGGTACATGCCCAGTAAATTTCCCACAACTGAGATTCTGCTTTTCCTGAGCAGTATCCTCTGGCTCCTTAGGGATGATGCCTGCTGAGGGGTTTCCTGGCTTGAAGGTCATGGTTCAGGCCAGGCGTAGTGGCTCACACATGTAATCCCAGCACTTTAGGAGGCTGAGGTGGGCAGATCACTTGAGGCCAGGAGTTCGAGACCAGCCTGGCCAACATGGTGAAACCCTGTCTCTACTATAGCCAGGCATGGTGGCAGGTGCCTGTAGTTCCAGCTGCTTGGGAGGCTGAGGCATGAGAATCGCTTGAGCCTGGAAGGTGGAGGTTGCAGTGAGCTGAGATCGTGCCACTGCTCTCCAGCCTGGGCAACAGAGTGAGATTCTTCCCCCCCATCCCCAAAAAAGGGGTCATGGTTCTAGACCTCCATTGTAGGCCCACCCCCACTGCTTTACTAGCTGAGGGAATTTACCTAAATTCTTTAGCCTATGGGAGCCTAAGTTTCCTCATCTGCAAAATGGAGATTAATAAAAACTCACCTTGCAGGACTTTTGTGGAAAAAAAAAAAAACCAACTTGAGAAGGCATTCAAAGAACTTAGTTCCTGATCAGTAAATATTAGCTTATTGTTTTTCTAAGACTATGAGTAAGATTTTTCATCAGAAATAAATCATTCTTGTTGCTTGGGCAAACTAATCTGTAATATAAAATATCTGTAATAAATGGTTGCTGTGTATTCATTGCTACTGTGTGCCAGGCACCATACTAAACACTTTATATAAATGATCTACATTGAGTCTTTTCCATGTCTGTCTCTTTTTTTTTTGAAACGGTGTTTTGCTTTTGTTGCCCAGGCTGGCTGGAGTGCAATGGCATGACCTCGGCTCACTGCAACCTCTGCCTCCTGGGTTCAAGCAATTCTCCTGCCTCAGCCTCCTGAGTACCTGCGGCTACAGGCACGTGCTACCATGCTAACCTAATGTTTTTTGTAGAGACAGGGTTTCACCATGTTGGCCAGGCTAGTATCAAACTCCTGACCTCAGGTGATCCGCCTGCCTTGGCCTCCCAAGGTGCTGGGATTACAGATGTGAGCCACTGTGCCTGGCTCTTATTCACAACTCTTAAGGTAGGTGCTAATATTTGCAGTAAGTAGATGGAGATGGCTTATCTTTCGCTGAGTTAGCTTGATCCGATTTGAGATGGCAATACACTGCCTTCCAGGTCATTGTCCTGCTTGTGGGTCTTTGCACATTCAGACCACACTTCTTTCCTCTTTACCTAAATCTAACTCTCATCTTTGGAGAGAGGTATTTGCACCTGTCCTTTGCCCTCAGTCTTTTTTTTATTTTTTATTTTCATTTCATTTATTATTATTATTGAGACAGAATCTCGCTGTCACCCAGGCTGGAGTGCAGTGGTGTGATCATGGTTCACTGCAGCCTCAAACTCCTGGGCTCAAGCAATCCTCCCGCTTCAAGTTCTCGAGAACCTGGGACTGCAGCTGTGTGCCATCATGCCCTGATAATTTTTGTAGGTCTCACTTTGTTGCCCAGGCTGGTCTCCAACTCCTGGATTCAAGCGATCCTCCAGCCTTGGCTTCCCCAAATGCTGGGACTATAGGCATGAGCCACCGTGCCTGGCCATGCGCGATGTTTCTTACTGCAGTTGCTGATACGTAGTTTTTGTTTTTTTCTGTACATCTGTGTTTGGGTGGTGTGTTTAACATCTGTCTCTTCCCAGACTGTCGCCTCCCCTAAAGCAAGAACCTTGTCTGTTTTCACCTCCACGTTATCTCCGCAACACCTCGCACAGTGCCTGGCAAACGTAGGAGCTCAACAGGGTTTGCGGAATTGTCACGTGTATGTCTGAAGGAAGGAGGCTGGCAGTGTGCCCAAGGTGTGAGGGTATCCTCGCTCTCTAAGGTCCCAGTGGCCTTAAAGTTGTCTTCGAGAAAGTCAGAGGGACAGGGGGACACTTGTTTTCCTTCCTTCCTTCCCTCCCTCACTTTCTTTTCTTTCTCTCTTTTTGCTTTCAAATATTTTGAAAGGACACTGCGCCAAGTCGGAGTGGCTCGGGCAGGGCTGGGGAGCGGGTGCTGGCAGGCACTGGAGAGGCGACATCTGGCCCTGGGAGGATTTGTTTCAAAGTTCGAGGCCGTTTGCTCGGGGTCAAGGTCAGTCCGGCGGGCGTTCGGGGACCAGCCTCGGCGTGCCAGGACCGTTTCCGGGCCCGGCCGGGGCGTTGCCGCGGGGTCTGGGGCCGGCGCAAGTGCTGAGTCACACCCCTCCCGCGAGCGCCTCGGGCCGGCAGCTCCAGAAGACGACGACGCGGAGCGGCAGCGGGAGCAACGGCCGGAGCCGAACCCGGAGCGGGAGCGCGCGTGGGCGCCACGGGCAGGTGAGGTCGCGCCGCAGGGGGGGACGAGGACCCGGAAGAGGGGCGCACGGATCGGGGGCCGGGCGCACGCCGCATCAGGCGTGGGGAGGTCGGTGCGCGCGGTTGTGGAGCTGCGAGGAGAGGGATACTCAGCTCAGGCCAGCCCCTCTCCGTGCCCCGCAGAAAACGCAACAGGGAAATTTGCTCCCGGCCGAGGACAGGAGCCCTCGTTTGGCCCCTAAATCCCTGCTTTTCCTAAGGAAGATGGGCTTAGGCAGGAAAGGGCCAACCGGAGAACAGGGAACATGGGGCAGGTGTAACCCGGATCCTGCGAGGACCCTCCGAGGGTCCGCTGGGTAGAAGCTGCCGGTCCGAACAGAAGCAGGTGTGAGAGGACTGGGAGAAATCTCAGTCTCTAAGAGGAAAGTGACTGGAGTTACACCAGTGCCCACAGGCTCGGGGGGTGCACAGGGAGGTCTGCTTCTCCCCTCCCGAAGCCCTGGGTGCTGCAGGGACAAGGACCAGCGGTGGGTAAACTAACTCTGATGGGACGCGTGCAGTCGACCTGGAACGGAATCAGTGGGCGATATTGGGGCTCTCCTTGCACCACCACCTGATCAACACACCCTGCCTTTCTCTACAATGAGAGTCTTTTTGACCCTGGAATTTAAGGTGAGGGTGGGGAGGGGTAAGGTCTCTTGGGAGCTGATGCTTCTGTAGGAGGACAGGCGTAGGCAGAGGGTCAGACATAGTTTGGGATGGGACTTCCAGGTTTCCGGACTCTACACTTGGGTTCAAAAGCCAGTATCCGGTTCCAGTGTGCGTGCGTACACCTGCCAGAGAGCCCCGGGACCGCAGATCCCACCTCCCTCACCCCAGCACCTAGAGAGGAGTTCTCCAAGGAGTCCAGTGTGTCGCCAAGTAGGGCACTGGGCCCCAGCCAGGGTGGGGCCTTGCTCAGGACTCCCCAGCCCAGAAGTGATGAGCTGGGCAGGCGGATGGACTCCAGGACCGGCCTGGCTTTTGTCTGGTGATTAAGTGAAGCCAGCATCCAGGTGGCAGGTGGTGGTGGGCAGAGCATGGGGACCTCTAAGTAACAGATGAGATGAGATGGACAAGTTGCTTGGGCCTAGGTTTTCTGTGCAGGAGTGAATATGACATCCAAATGAACCTGTCTGCCCCAGAGCTGCCCTCTCCTAGGAATAAAAGGAGGCTGCCTCCCTTCAGGCTTTGAGTCCCCTTTCAGAAATTGGTCTTTTGGGGGTTATATTCTTCAAGTAGTCCCTGAGGGGCTGGCCAGGGAGTATCCTAGGGAGGGAAGCCTCCCAACCCCTCTCCATCCTGCTCTGTCCCCCAGGTGGAGGGAACGTCCATGGCTCTGTGAGTCGTGTCTTAGTGGCCTTCTCATCTGGGACGGCCACTCTGGGAACATGGCTCCCCAGAGGCTGATGTTGAAACCTACCCTCTGCGTGAACCATGATGACTCAAAAAGCATCGTGTTTTATTTGTAATCTCTGTGAAGCAATAGTGGAGCAATTGTAGAATGACATTCTTGCTTTGATCAGAGCCCACATGGTTCCCCCTGTGTGTTTTCTGAGGCACGACCTCTCAACAGCTTTGGCATACATGTGACTTCCTGGTTTTTCAGTAGAGTCCTATGGGCTGCTTATTGTGGAAGAATACCCAGGATCAGGGTGGATGCTCCTGGCAGAGAAAACAGGATTGACTGAGCAAATTTTTGTGTAAATCAGATTGTGTGTGTGTGTGTGTGTGTGTGTGTGTGTGCACATGTGTGTGTTGTGAGAGCGAGCAAAGGTAAAGTTACTGAGGAGTTGCTGGACAATCAGTAACTTAGTTTGTTCTGTCCTCTTAGGCCTTTTTTTAGGCTAACGTTCCTGAACCTAGACAGACATATTTAAGATTCTCTGTGATTCCCACTGGGGGTTTGGCATTTAGTTCAAAATCAGAGGGTGGATTTGGCAGTTCCTCAAAAAGTTAAACTTTGAGTTACCATATGACCCAGTAATTCCAAATCTAGGTATATACTAAAGAGGGTTAAAGACCGGATCACACAAAAACCGGTACATAGATGTTCATAGTGGCATTATTCGTATAGTCAAAAGGTAGAAACAACTCAAGTTCTTAATTACAGACTCTGAGACCAATAATGGACTGTTATTCAGCCAGAAAAAGAAATGAAGCACTGATACATGCTACAACTCAGATGAACCTGAAAATATGATCAGTGAAAAAAGCCACAAAGTGTATAATTCCATTTACATGAATTGTCTTGAAGCGATAAATCAATAGAGACAGAAAGAACAGGGTTAGGATTGCTGGGGTGCAGGGTTTATTTTGTGGGTAATGGAAGTGTTCTGGAATTAGATAGTTCTTATGGTTGCACAACCTGGTGAATACCCTAAAACCCACTGAACTCACATCTCTTTTTTTAAATTTTAGATTAAAAATTTTTTCTCTTTTGAGACAGAGTCTTGCTCTGGCACCCAGGCTGGAGTGCAGTGGCACGATCATGGCTCATTGTAACCTCTACCTCCTAGGCTCAAGTGATCCTCCCACCTCAGCCTCCTAAGTAGCAGGGACCACAGGCATGAGCCTGGCTAATTTTTTGTAGAGATGGGTTTTACCATGTTGCCCAGGTTGGTCTTGAACTCTGGAGCTCAAGCAATCTGCTTTCCTCGGCCTCCCAAGATGTTGGGATTACAGGTCTGAGCCAGCCTGCATCTCATTTTTTTTTTTTTTTTTTAAAAGATGGGGTCTCG